GGCAGCTTTCCAGCCCCTCTTCCCCATGCCTGTAGCGTTGTGTGGGGTTGTTGTGACCCCACGGCAGGACCCGGCCCTTGGCCCTGTTGAACCTCACCCAATTGGCCTGGGCCCATGGCTCCAGCGTGGCCAGGTCCCTCTGCAGAGCCCTCCTCCCCCCCCAGCAGATCCACACTCCTGCCCAGCTCGGTGCCATCTACAAACTGACTGAGGGTGCCCTCGATCCCCTCGCCCAGGTCATTGATAAAGATGTTAAACAGAACTGGCCCCAAAACTGAGCCCTGGGAGACACCGCTTGTGACTGGCCGCCAGCTGGGTTTAACTCCCTTCATAAGAATCAGCAAAGTTTGGGGTTTTCTTAAAAAAAAAAAGTTTTGTAATATGGACTTCCATGTAAAAACAACAGCCGACACCGATTTCCCTAGCTCCACAGGTGAAGGTTCAGGGGCCAAAAGCAAGGACGGCCACTTACAGCTGAACACAGCCTTCAGCTAAAGGGAACATTTGGACACAATTCCTTAACCATCCTGTCACTCACCCAGACTTCCTTGGAAAGCAAGGTCTCCTCATTCAGGAAGAAAAGTAAATTCACAGCCTAGGCTGGTGCAGTGTTAGCGCCCCTATTTTTGAATCCAGTACAGCACAGGGATTGGAAACATCGCACCTAATGATTCCTAAAAACCAAACTGTGGGATTCAATCTAAGATTAAATCCAAAGCCATCAGAGTCCTTGAGATGTGGCTTCCAGCCATGTTTCCCTTGCTAAAAAGGATCGTACTCTCACACCTACTGTACCCACTGCGAGCTAAAACCCCAGGAGGATTCAACACCACACATTTTTCTTTCACAACTTAACAAAAGTTATCATTACACGTGTTCCCAGCGGTTGGCAGAGAAGAGCAGGTGAACGGTGTGGTCCTCCAGGTTCTTCTCCCTCAGCAGGTAGGAGCTGATCAGCCGCCCGATCTCCGTTGTTCGCTCTGCAGGAAAGAGGGGGAGAAGGAGCAAACACTGCCCTCAGCCACTTCTGCCAAAGGGGGGGTCCGTCTGTCCCAGGGAAAGTCAGCCTATCTGGGATCTGTCTGTCCATCACAGGTGGGAACAAGTTCAGTCTGTCCAAGTGTGGGGGCCTGTCTGTCTGTCACAGGTGGGAGGGAGGTCGGTCTGCCCGAGGGTGAGGGTCTGT